GCGTAATCATGGAGCATAACAAATGTTCTCCGCCTCAACGTATTATACAAAATTTATTCAATAATACATTACAGTATTTCTTGAACAAATTAATGGCCAAATCATGAAATTACATCAATTTGTAATATCATTTCACATACAGAATATAGGAGAGATAGAGAGAATTTAATTTTCATATTCAACAAAAGTTAGTAAAACAACGGTTATCTCCCTTTGGACAGAAACTAATTTGACACGTTTATGTCTCGGGTGGCCACTCAATGTACTATACATGTAATGATAGGGACGAGCCGCTGGAAAACGTCACAAATGCGTCCGATATTTAACAAATCTATGTTACTCTCCAAGAAATAGCGTAATAAATCTATGGGTCTATTTTTTGTCAAAAACATATAATTGGTATGATTTTTATAATATTAAAAAATATGAATAGGGTTGGATACTGAATTTCTCATCTTCTCACCCTACAACAAAAGGATTGGACTGGCCCCCTAGCTTGGGTATTATACCATTGATAAACTCACCGAATTCTGGAAAATATTTCTTGAAATTGTTATTTTAAAATTAATTTAGAATTATTGGTGGATGCGTGTCACATCCGTTTATTGATACAGGTTTTCTGGGAGTGGAAACGGTGGGCTGAACAAGTCATTTCAGTGTTAAATATAACCATGTATTTTTTTTTTTTTTTTTTGAAGTATGGAAGATTGCTTACGTTTGAGTTTTGGTACATATGCAATCTCCAGAATTTCTTGAAAATTCTTTTAGCCACAATGATACTCCATTTAATAGCTGATGTGACCTTGACATTTGACTTCCTGACCTCATATTTAATTACTTTTTTCCTCTCTCCAAGGAGTATAATCTATGCAAGTTTGGTAAAGATCTTATTTCTTGTTCCAATATAATTTAACATTTAAATATTTGCCAAGGAATTTTATCAAATTAACTTTGGTAACTAACTTTGGCAAAGATTTAAAGTATGATTGAAAGATCAAAAAATCCATGAAGGTCTTATATTCAAGCTAAGGTTGGTATAGGGCTTCGATATTTTGAAACTGAAATAGCCCCAAAATTTTCAGTCTAACAGTTGCTGTTGTGACCCTAATATTTGACATCAAAAACAAAAAATAGTCAGATCAAATGTGTAACATAGAAATTGAGCGGACACGAAACTTTACAAAAAAAATCTATTTATAGGCATTGTGCACTTGATATTTCACCTACATATTATACCCAAGCGAAAAAGGGGGTCTAGATTTTTAAAGACATTTTCAAACCTAAATGAATGGATGTTGAATGAATGGTTCAAAAGACACCAAAACGTTGGCCAAATTTCAGTCCATTAATTGCAGTGACCTTAACCTTTTACCTAGTGACATAGTGACATCAACAATTTTATTATCTTTTTTCATTCAATGTGGCATTTGGTAAAGATATTGCTTATTGCCTAAAGTAAATTATCGGGACCCAAAATGTTGGCACCCAGAGGCAACTCAGCTACTGAAACGTCTATATCTATAGGATTTTTTTTTTCTGTAAAATATTTATGCAACAATAACAAATTGGGCTTCATCTGAGTTTGAGAAAAAAATGATTTATCCAACTTTTATATATAATTCCAGGGATATAATAAATCAAATATCCGACAAAATTAGGTAAAATATTAAAAAAAGAGATGTGCGGTAAACGTCAATGAGACAAAAAAAACTAACATAATGTTGGGGGCAAACAAAGGTCTTTAATAATTGACAAGTGTCTATACAATAGGTCAAGCTCTCAATTAGCCCGAGTCTAGAGAAAAATGTGTATGAACTAACAAATACTACCATAGATCTACCATCAATACCGAATTTCCTAAAAGAGAGAAAAAAACTGTTTAAGATATAACCTAATGTAAACCCTAAATAATTTCTGAAAGGTACACGAACGTATTTCCGGGTTGCAGTAGTTTTTCTAAGATTTCGCATAGGCGTTGAATCAAATAGAATACTAAAAAAAAATTGCAAATTTCATCAGAGGAGATATTATCAAGAAATATGTATTTAAAGTGAAATTTTATAACTTGTTTTCCTCATTATTTTTTTTTAGTTGTAATCTCTGTCCTGCCTTTTTATTTTTCACTCTATTCGGTCCTGCCTTTTTTTTTTTTAGTTTATCCTCACTTTTTTTTAAATAAATTGTCATCCTGTCTTTTTTTTTTTTTGCAAAGTGTCTCATCCTGCCTTTTTTTTTTTACTCAATACTCTTGTCCTGCCTATTTTTTTCAAATTTCATATGATCTGTTTATCAGAAAGTTCTGTGCTTTGAGCTTGCTTTTAGTAAATGCTAGCTTTCTTTGAAATGTATTTCTTACGAAAAAAAAATTACTATAAAACCTATATATAAATAATAAGAAGATGTGATATAATAGAAAAAAAAAGGATATGGGGTATCCATCCATGACACAAATCAGTACACGTACAGCAAAAAACACACAAAAAGCATAGGAACAGCTCTTTTATTGCTGTTCTACATTTCAATTTCACACGATTGCCAATCCATCAGAGATCAAATGGCGAAGATGAAAGCAACTAAGTAACATTTTAAAGTGTTTGTTCCAATGTTATTTTGTGCTTGATTGGAATATTTGGTGTTGATGTAAATTTTTTTGGTCGTCTGTATTTAAATTGTTCACAGATTGACTGACTAGACTCGGAGCGATTTAGAACTTATTGCATGGTATGGACATCTTTTCTAGTGTTGACGACAGCATGTTAACGACTCGGTGTTATTTTGAATTTTATGTAGTTGTTGTCTTATTGGCGTATACACCACATTTCCTCTTCTTCATAGCATACATCAAAGATTCGCATGGTGTATTAACAACTGATTAACTAAATGTCAGGCGTTTATGGGTAAAATCGATATCCAAAAAAGGAAAATAGGCCTTATAAATCAATATATAATAGATGAAAAGCTAAATGCATCATAAAGTTTTCGATAACTGAATATCATAAAGTATAAAAAAATAATTTTAAATATTAAAGATGACGCGAGGCATATAAAGACGAGTTACGATTTGCGCAGTGCAATTTAAGCAACTGTTGTATATATGAGGATCTGGGTGGGGTTTAGGGAATAGAGAATAATGGGCCAATACAACAGAAAAATGAACCCCAAAAAATAAAGAATGGAGAAGAATAGGCCAAAAAAATTACAGAATATAGAATAATGGACAAAATATATAAAGTTGTCATACCATCACCAATTCACTGACTCACATTTAGAACATATTGAAAATAACCCTACTTCGACAAAAAAACAATAGTGTTTTTATGTTGTTGTTTACTTAAACGAGCAAATGAAGTTACATGAACGTTATTTTTTCTGATTGAGAAATATAAGTTGATCATTTTAAGCCCAGATTTACGTATGCATGAAATTGCATCACAATTTTATTAGTATGCGAGTTAAGATTTTCAGTAAACAACATGCTATTTCTAGTGGTAGAGCACTTCCTGAACACCACAAGAATAAACATTGGTTAAAAATTGGCATGTATAGAAAATTGAAAAATGTGGTTGAATATACAGTGTTTTTTTGAAATGGTTGTTTGACACCTATAGAATAGAGAAAATTGCCTAAAATTAAAGAAGACAGAAATGCAGACCCCACCCAGACACTTTTGTATGCTCAGATTCATTAAAGTCCAGTTCAGGTTTATTGATTGTTGTATGCTTTCCGAACTCAAAGAATTAAACGAAACATTTTCGTAGGTAATGCAAAGTCGTCAAACCTGAATGGAAGACTGGAAAATTTAAGCTGTCCGTGGGAATGTTTTGGTAGTGCAAACTGTTCTCTTACTGCTGTATCATGTCACCCACTGACCCCTCAAAAGGAATTGCTGTTTGGTTTGCGCAGAAAACGTGACACTCTTCAATAGCAAACATGTTTAAACGGCCCATTTCGATCGGAGTATGCTGTTTTATACATAATATCCTAACAGATTCCAATTAGCACGGGTTCTACATTGCCGGGCAGAAGAACTCGCCATTATTCTACACCCAGTAAATTGTTGAGACTTGTAATATCAGATGTACACTGATATGACTAAAAATGTCATAAATGTATATTATCTAGCAGTATTAATGAAAAGATACAAAAAAATATATTAAAATCAAAAAGTCTTCAACACTTTAATGTAACAAATTCTTGTCTACAAAAATTGCAAAATTTGGTGGTCAATACCCATTTTTTTTTTTTCTCCTTTTTGTCCAAAATATTTCTTAATCCAAGATATGACGGATGTTTTAACAAAGCCAAGTAGTAAAAAGAACATGTCTTTTGCATGGAAATAACTGCAAAGTACTTTGATAAAAATGAGCAAAGAGGATACTAAATTCGTGATTAAGTACTATTTCCAGTAATTTGATTGGTAGACAATAATCACGTGGTGTTTTTGAAGTGATGTTTTATTTCTTAATACAATGCAACATCCATAGCAGCTCTTTGCCTCCAGGAAAACGCCACAACAATGTAAAAGGAATAAAAAAAGCTCCATATAACTCAAATTTCATGGATTTAGCATTGAAATATTTTCGCTTTCGTGCTTAATACACAATGTACTTTGGTAAACGATTTTACATCCCAATAAATAAAACCCGAGATTATTATAGTAATCTCAGACAAAAAGAAGCATTGAATTCTTAAGTGTATTCATGTTTCCAAAGTCATTACGAACGTATTGTATTGTACCAAATGAAGACAAAAAATGGACACATTAACATTTGACATTCGTATTCTTTCCGCCTTGTTCACACCAAGTACTAAATGGTCAATAGTTCTACACGACCAATTCTTAATCCTTGGCAAAATTCCTAAAGCAACTTCAATACGGTCTAATTTAAATGGATTCGAGTAATTGTTGAAATTGTTTTCAATACAATTATGCCATACAGGTCATATTTAAATAGAATCCGACGATGGCTTTCAATATCATTATGCCACACAAAGCTACACAGAAGTCCTCACAGTTGGGTAGTTTTTAACTAGCTGCCCAGTGGATATTTTCAAATTAAAGGATATACAAATATTGTTAATTTGGCCTAGAATACTATACATTTAACTGTCAGAAAATACTCGTTCATTTGTACATGGAACTTTGAATCATGGATAATAATGTCCATTACAGCACTGCTAATGGTAAGAAGAAATTATTGGAATTTTATTATATATATATTCTCCAAAATTCTTTTATTTATTTTCCACAGCTTGTCAATTTTGTCAAATGTTCAGCTAAATATTATCCAGTATTGTGTAATTTTGATTGCATGAGAATTGTGCTATTAATAAAAATTGTATATTTCATTGTAGTCAGTTGAATGATTTATAAGAGTTGTCTTTAGTTTTGTAGCAGGTTTTCGCAATTTATGGACTATTATCACACAAAAATTAACAGGATGCATTTTTTGGTAAAATTCACAAACGCATGCTATGATTGAAATTTTAACTTATTACAGTTGTACTAATTTCAAAATTATGTAATTTTAACAACTTTATATATTTTTCACATTCCAGTGACTTAAATGCGGATTACAGTTTACCTTGCAGCCATTAGTCTTATAGAAAATATACGTACCCGGTATTTTCTAGCTTATTTTTTATATGCTTGAGTAGCGTAACCGCCATTAAATGTTGACTTTTAAAAGAGACTTGTAATAATTATATTTGCATTTAATCACAATTTTTTGGATGGCTAAATGTTTTACATTTGACTGGGATACTGATGTACTTGTAAGCACATTATTTTATACTTACTTATTTATTTTTAATATTCATTTTATTTTTTATTTATTTATTTATTCATGCTTTATTTGATAGTAATGTTATTTAACAAAATTACAAAAAAGTGTTCTTCTGATGCAATGCGCACGACACGTTTGTCTCCATAATTTTGGAAAACCAAAATTATAAAAATATATTTCTGATATGCAATACCATTGGTTGTAATCAACGGAATTTCTGTATGAAAAGTAAATTTATTAATTTTGATAACTAATGATATTAAAAAATCTTTTTAAACATGACAATACACCACTTCGTGATTATATAATTGCACATACACATATTCTTTTGTACGTGTACTTTGAAGTACTAAAATGTACTTAAATGATATGATACAGTTTTATTGTAACAAAATTATTGCACTTTTTCTGCACCGTAATTTTACAGTTACAAAAAATATTTTGTACTGGTTCAATAATTTATAAGTTATGGCCTTTCAGTAAACTTTTCTTTCAAATTCTAATACTAATGAAGTACTGTATCAATTGTACCTTTCTAGTACTACAGGATTGAAGTACAGAACTAGTACTTCTTATGAGCAGTAAAAAACTAGTACAGCAAAATTATGGTACTAAAATAGTACATTAGATTTGCCAGTATTACACCAGAGCCACGTTGTTTAGGTAAATTTTCAGTACTTTGAGGTTTTAGTACTAAAAACGTACACATAGATGTGTATGTGCAGATAAAATGGAGAGAGAGAGAGAGAGAGAGAGAGAGAGAGAGAGAGAGAGAGAGAGAGAGAGAGTCATGTTGGGATAAAGAAGATTTATGTTGCAGAGCTTAAGATAAGACGATTTAAGAAAAATATGAGATTATCTTTCAATTTTATTAAATTGAACATATCTTCTTATAGAAAACATAAGATTTTCACTAATTTATGTAGAAAATGCAAATTTTTGTTGTTGAAAACGACAATAATTTTAGTTGTATTATACACTCTCTCCTTTCAAACAATTATCCGGGTCTATACCTGATAAATACTCCTTTCAATACAAATCTTGATCTTTATATATTTTAAACAAAGATTTTAATTGTCCTTTCTATAATACAGGGACATCATAAAAGACAAAAAAATATCAGGGGGCGAAAGAATGTTTGTAAGCGGCTTCTGTACTATTTACCTGCCGTAGGCGTTTCGAGCTCGACTGGAGTTTAAAATACTTGAATTTATACTTACAATCAATACCATTTCATTTTTTTAAATAGTACTTTAATAATTCGACTGTAAAATATTTTCTGTTTGATAAATTCAAATGACGTTTTTCGCAGGTTTGATTGTATACGATTAAAATAAATGTACAAACACTGACTGTTTACATTGTCATTTGAAAGAAATAAGTTTTCGACACGTTGTTTCTTCGGATTAGAGATTATTAATTTAAAACGTTTATGCTGCCTTGAATCAATTTTACGCTTGGCATTTATAACGTGACTCTTTGGGTAATGAACCCCGAACATTTAAGCCTCTTAGATTGGACTAGGTTTCCCCAGATTACTATTTTTTGTATGCCACAACAAATGTTCATTTGAATTTTGGATAGTACTCAGATATAGTACTAATGGAAATGAAATAACATCCATATTAGTTTCTATTATATCTATTTTGCCCCTTTAATTAAAGCCAATTTATTTTTTCTTCAAAATTAGGCGACAGAAAATCAGAAAACATCAAAATCCCTCCTCTAACCTCTTTCCAAAATAAGATAAATACTTCAAATAAATACTTGTTCCATTTTTCATTTGTCTGACACCAAAAAAGATACGTTGTTCTCCTTCATCAGATTCTCTAGTACTGAATATGCATGTACTGGTTGCCACTGGCCTCCTAAACAAACATTAATCAATTAATCCATTTTTGCTAGTCTGCAAATACTCTCAGTTACCCTAGTATATATCAGCAAAAAGTATATACATCATAGACAATGGACATGTTTGGTCGACAGAATCTGAATCGTTCAAAAACATTCTTGACGACAAATTCTTATAGTTTAATGAAGCGCTGGCCTATTCAGTCAAACTTGACATTAATTCCACAAGGTGCGTTCTATTATTACGTAATTGAAAAAATGTGAAAAGGTAGAAATTTATCCTTCAAGAGCATTAATCCTAGATCTAAGTAGAATTAAAATCTATTGAAGTGTTTTAAACATAATGAATAACTAATAAGATTTTCTCTCTTAGTTGTTCAGAACACATTCTAAAATATGTATACGATTGACGAAATTGATTGTTTTGTAAACCGTCAAGGATTTTAACACTATTTTCTGGACTGATCCTTATTCCCCAAGTTGGGCTTTAAAAAGTAAAGTAAGAAAATTCATTTTTCAGTCGGTTCTTTCTAAAGTGAAAATAAAGAAACCTTTCAGGGTTTACACAATAAAAACAGTCCTAGTTCAGGAGAAAATTGTGCTAAAAAGATGGATTTTTACCTTTTCTCTTTCATGGCAGGTCCTAAGTTGGCCACTGTCTCAGCAACAAACCACTACGTTTTTGTTTTGGATTGTTTGACAAATATTTTTGTTAACGTCCAGCAGCCAGTATTTCAAACAGTTTGAATAACACGAAGAATATTCAGTTTAGATATATATCAACGAAATGAGATAACAACAACAGATGTTACTGAAGAAATATTTTTGTAACGGTCATTCTTAAATACTATTTGCAAGGAAGGCAATCTAGAAAATACATGTTTTTGTTTAATATATTTTTAGGTGGGGGTAGTTTGCTATTGTCAATGTTGTTTTTCAATTCAGTGGTTCTTTTCTCCATCGGTATCTCTATTTAAACCAGATTCACAAAGCATTAGTTAATTCGGGAGGGTTTAATCAGTTTCATTACGTAATACAAACTGATCATGTTATTAATAGATTTGAGAACCTGAAAAGAAATTGTAATTAAAGTTAAGCTAATATCACAACTACATCTATCATTGAAAATGGTCACTCAATTAAATCATTTAACTGTGAAATTAAAATTCAGTAGGTGTATATCTGTGTTAAATTTGTTCCATTCATAGTCATTGTCGTTCGTGTATTGACAACCGCATATTTAACCCAGAAGTTTGAGAATATTCGGTGACTAAACCCAGAGACATATATACACAGAGATTGGCAACTCCGTGAAATCCCGTTAAAAAACGCGGCCCGGAATGAGATTCTCGTCGATAATTATTCTACAACATGTAAACAAGTCAGGGATATATATGTCTCTGCTAAACCGTATAAATCGAAAAATCCAGACATGATAGTCCCCTTTCTACGATAAGAAAGGCAAACAGAGTTAAAGGGGGTCTCATTGGGGGGTTCTGATCCCAGATCCCGCTTACTGTTTTGACAGATTCCCGTATCCCGCTTACACTATGTACGTAAGCAATTCTCATTTTTTTGTAATTTCCCGTATCCCGCTAGACTTCATTTCCCGTTTTCACGGCACAATAATTTGATTTCACGTGTCACGCTAATAAAAAAGTGGCAATCCCGCGTCACGCTTAAACACTAATGAGACCCACATTAAAGACAGCGAGAGCTTGAATTATTCCAGTCAGTAAAGCATACGAAGAACCGAGAGTTTATCTGTACCATTCCATAAGAAACTGCAAAATGTACCTGTGAGAGTCTGGATAGGGCTTACAGAATAGAGGATTCATGATGGTAAAAAAGTGCAGAATATAGGGCAAAAAAATGAAGAAAGGAGAAAAATAGGCAAACAAAGAAGAATAAAGAATAATGGGGTGCTAAAATATTTAAAGAATACAAAAAAGTTGTCTAAATAAATGAAGGACCCAGACCCATCCAGACCCTCGACTATTTGACGTATTGTTCATTTGGTCTCGTCCTGAATATGCATGACATTTTTGCCACTAGAGTCAGGAATTAACAATCAACCAATCAATGAACCAAATACTGCTGCAGCCCATTAAGAACATGCATTTGTTTGTAAATGTAAATGCTTCCTTTTTCGAGTAATTAGAAACTTATGCTTGTTCGTCATTTATCTTTTCTCTCGCAAGACTCATTTGGGGATAAATGTATAACACATTGACTCCCTAAATAACCTGAAAGACAATAGTAAGATATCTCACTTAGCAAATATTTGTATTTTTAAGAGATTGGTTGAATGAAGGCAATTCTGAAACGTGGCAAGTGGTTGTCTTATGCCATGGCAATTCTGAAACGTGGTCAGGGGTTGTCTTATGCCATGGCAATTCTGAAACGTGGTCAGTGGTTGTCTTATGCCATGGCAATTCTGAAACGTGGTCAGGGGTTGTCTTATGCCATGGCAATTCTGAAAAACGTGGTTAGTGGTTGTCTTATGCCATGGCAATTCTGAAACGTGGTTAGTGGTTGTCTTATGCCATGGCAATTCTGAAACGTGGTCAGTGGTTGTCTTATGTCATGGCAATTCTGAAACGTGGTTAGTGGTTGTCTTATGTCATTGCAATTCTGAAACGTGGTTAGTGGTTGTCTTATGCCATGGCAATTCTGAAACGTGGTCAGTGGTTGTCTTATGTCATGGCAATTCTGAAACGTGGTTAGTGGTTGTCTTATGTCATGGCAATTCTGAAACGTGGTTAGTGGTTGTCTTATGCCATGGCAATTCTGAAGCTTGGTCAGTGTTTGTCTTATGTCATGGCAATTCTGAAACGTGGTCAGTGGTTGTCTTATGTCATGGCAATTCTGAAACGTGGTCAGTGGTTGTCTTATGCCATATGTTATTTGGGAATTTGATGATGTTACACTATTGTTTCAGGTAGGGTGAAGGTTGGCCCCTATTAAAACGATTAAACCCGCTGCATGTGTTTGCACTTGTCCTAAGTCAGGAACCTGATGTTCAGTGGTTGTCGTTTGTTGATGTGGTTCATAAGTGTTTCTCGTTTCTCATTTTTTATATATATTATACCGTTGGTTTTCCTGTTTGAATGGTTTTACACTAGTCATTTTTGGGGCCCTTTATAGCTTGCTGTTCGGTGTGAGCCAAGGCTCCGTGTTGAAGGCCGTACTTTGACCTATCATTGAATGGTTTACTTTTACAAATTGTGACTTGGATGGAGAGTTGTCTCATTGGCACTCATACCACATTTTCTTATATCTAGATCTTTAGAACTTGATATTTTGTATAGACACCAGACTATAAGCTGTCCTCTAGATGTATTTTGGTTATTTGTGTCGTTGGTTTCGAGTCTTATTGACGTATTCCTTTAAGGTGGTACATAACACTACAGGGAGATAACTCTGTAAAAATCAGCTGAACGTTTTAATCACGTTAGTAACCTTCTCAATGATCAAAATTAGTGTTTGTCAAACTGCTATATATCCAATGAAATTTTTCCGATAAAGTGTGTGGTTCAATTTTTTTTTTAAATTTTTATATTTTTGTCAAAGGGTCAAAGTAAATATTTTGTCAAAATTTTATGAAAATTAAACATGCCAATTTAATTTTAGTCAGTGCTCGGAAGGTGAAGGTGTTTGGAACCACCTTAATATTATATTAATTACTTTTTTCGGAAAGGGAGAATCAACGACATACAAATAGTAAAGTGAGATAAAAATGAAAAATATGTTGTCATTATGTCATGTTCGACTATACAAAAACCTGTCTTTGTTCCTGAAAACAATCTCGAAGTATTTTTAGAAAAACCATGTATCAGATTGTGTTTTGATAGAACTTCAATATTTTGTTGAAGCATGATATCATATGTTCGATTTTACTGTATTTTCTCTGTATTTTTTTCAGTCTCGCCTGCCATCATTTATGTATACAATGTTAGTTTATTGTCCTCTTGTACACTTAATGTGTCTGAGATTAAATAAAGAATTTGAATCTTGAATCTTAAAATGACTTTTGAACCCTCTTTTCCTTTACAGAATAACCCCCAGCACCATACTAGCATTATTTCCTATATTCGCCCCTGTATAAAAATATTCTCAAATTGTTCTTTAAATTATTATTTGGTTGCCAGAGGATAATTTCACAGAGGACAGCGAGGAATTAAGGATAAAGAAAAAATCATTAAAAAAATCAAATTTATCAAGCTACTCGATCTAAAGTAATATCTAATATTTTTGTCATTTACAAAATTCGGTACTGATTGAAGATCTTGTCACTGTGTAGTCAGTGTTAAATTTATTCCTAACTTTTCTACATTCGAGGCTATTTAAAGTTTGGTATATCGTATATACAATTGCCTATTTTTTTAAACCCGTATGTTGACCTCTAGATGTCTTTGTGATTTCACTGTAGATTTTGGTCGTTGTGTCATTGGCGTTTATCCTAACATCTCCTTTTTCATAAACATTAGAACTGACACATATCTTAAGGATGTTTACTGATGAAATCTATATTTTCATAGATAAATTCTATACATCTTAAGGATGCATACTGCTGAAATCTTGATTTTGTTTTTGGGATATACACCTTAATGATGGTTACTACTGAAATCTTGATTTTCAGAAATGAAATGTTTTGGGATATACACCTTAAGGGTGCTTACTACTGAAATCTTGATTTTGTTTTGGGATATACACCATAAGGATGCTTACTGGTGAAATCATGATTTTCATTAATGAATTCTTTCCCGATATATATCTTAAGGATGCTTACTACTGAAATCTTGATTTTGTTTTGGGATATACACTTTAATGATGGTTACTACTGAAACCTTGATTTTGTTTTTGGGATATACACCTTAATGATGGTTACTACTGAAATATTGATTTCCAGAAATGAAATGTTTTGGGATATACACCTTAAGGATGGTTACTACTGAAACTTTGATTTTGTTTTTGGGATATACACCTTAATGATGGTTACTACTGAAATCTTGATTTTCAGAAATGAAATGTTTTGGGATATACATCTTTAGGATGCTTACTGATGAAATCTTGATTTTCATAGATAAATTCTTTTCCGATAAACATATTAACGATGCATACTGCTGAAATCTTGATTTTTTTATGGGATATACACATTAAGGATGCTTACTACTGAAATCTTGATTTTCAGAAATGAAATGTTTTGGGATATACATCATAAGGATGCTTACTGATGAAATCTTGATTTTCATTAATGAATTCTTTCCCGATATATATCTTAAGGATGGTTACTACTGAAATCTTGATTTTGTTTTGGGATATACACTTTAAGGATGGTTACTACTGAAATCTTGATTTTCAGAAATGAAATGTTTTGGGATATACACTTTAAGGATGGTTACTACTGAAATCTTGATTTCCAGAAATGAAATGTTTTGGAATATATATACATCTTAAGGATGCTTACTGCTGAAATCTTGATTTTCATAAATGAATTCTTTTCCGATATACATTTTAAGGATACTTACTACTGAAATCTTGATTTGCATTAATAGTGTTTTTTTCGATATACATCTTAAGGACGCTTACTGCTGAAATCTTGATTTTCATGAATGAACTCTTTTCTAGTATAGATTTTAAGGGCGTTTACTGCTAAAACTTGATATTCATAAACAAAGTATTTTCCAATCTACATATTAAAGGATGCTTGCCACTGAAATCTTGATTTTCGTCAAAGAATTCTTTCACGATATTTTCCCAAAGGATGCTTACAGCCGAAATCTTGATTTTCATAAGTAAAGTCTTTTACGATATACATCTAAAGGATGCTTGCTGCTGAGATCTTGATTTTCATATTTGAGTTCTTTCCCGGTATATATCTTAAGGATGCTTACTGCGTGACATCTTAATTTTTATGAATGAAGCTTTTTCAATAGACATTGTATAACGCATACACATTATTGAAAACTGTTGATATAGTCCATGTGCTTATTTTCAGATATAACAAGTAAAATCAGAAAAACTAGAAAGATAGGGGCGGATAAATTTGTTTTCTCCGGATTATTCATATGCAATGTATGGACAGAAAGATACAAATATGTATCAAATATGTAGAATAAAAGAAGAATTTGAAAATATTTCCTCATATAAGTGTTTTTGAGATGCAGTTTTTTAATGCATTACCAATAAAGGTAAAGTAAGACGTGTTTCATAATTACAACTAATTATTTTTTTTTTTACAGGCGACACAGAAAGCAGTTTTTATGTAGATACAGGATTTGCATATTTTGAAAAGAAAGTTAATGGTAACATGTCTGATAGCAGTCACCAAGAATTTGAAGTTGATACATCGCCTATACCAAACGGCGACATCGAACATTTGGAACTTGACGAACAGACAGAATCTGTAAAACGTGTGCCTGTCGATACCTCTGATCCAATGGTCTCATACGAAACCAGACTTATCTCCGAACCAGAGACATTAGAAAGAGTCATGACACAAGACATTGTTGAAAAGAGAATAATCAAACAAGCACCGGTAGAGCGGATAATGACAAGACCGGTTGAGTACGTGCGGGAAAGACCCGTTGAGTATGTGCGGGAAAGACCTGTTGAGTATATAAGGGAGAGACCTATTCAGTATGTCACTAAAAGACCCGTTGAAGTTGTGAGAGAACGAGTCGAAGTAGCTCCACAAATCCAAAGAGTTATACGACCGGCACCGACGGTTAGAAGAATGGTGCAAAAACCAGTTGAGAGAGTCGTGCAGACGCAACCAGTTCGAGTAATAAGAAAGCCGGCACCAGTTGAACGAGTTGTTCAAAGAGTAGTCGAACCTGCACCAGTCGAAAGATATGTTCAAAGAGTAGTAGAACCTGCACCAGTCGAAAGAATTGTTCAAAGAGTAGTAGAACCTGCACCAGTTCAAAGGGTCATCACAAGATCTAGACCAGCTGAGAGGATTGTTACTGCTCCAGTAGAAAGAGTTGTGACGCGAGCACGGTCCGTAGGAAGAGTAGTCAGATCTGAAGAGAGAAGATATACCACGGCAAGACCTGTAGAATCCGTTATAACTACAGCAAGACCTGTAGAAACTGTTATGACCAGAACGAGGCCAACCGAATCAATCGTTACTACAGCAAGACCTGTAGAGACATTCGTAACCAGACCGGCAAGCTCAACTATTGTCAGAATGAGTAGAGAGAGGCCGGGTTCCGCTAGAACAGTTCGGTCTAGTATTTACTCGACTCGTTCATCCTATGGCGATGTCGTTTTTTAATGAATTAATTTGAAATCGAAGGAAAAAATAAAAAAAGATATTATTTTGGATTGTGAATATAGGTCGAATGGAATATTGCTTGCTCAATCATCTGTATATCATTACACTGCGGATTTATAAATTTTGTATGTGATGTGTTGTGGTATTGATTTTTACAAATGCCATAAACAAATATCTTTACAGTAATTAGCAAGGCAAGTGGACACTGTAGTTTATTATATATAGATATTTAGAATGAATATAATTGATAATTTAGAATTTAACAAATTACCGTTGAAGCAGAGATTTTACGTGATATTTTTCTCTGGTTGAAACCAGAAAGCTCTAGTTCTACCAGGCTTTTTCAAAAGAACGAAAAGTTAGCGGACTGAAATGACACGGTGGACTTATTACAATCTGCTCAGCGTATCAATATTTTATTATATAACAGACTAATAATACTCGTATATGTATACTGTGACATACATAGTTATCTTGTTATGGTAATATTATAGTTTATCACACTGTTATTGGTTCTATATTGAGATATGTTCATTCACGCTTTTTTGAAAAGAAAAAAACAAAGATTTATGGGTATCTTTCCACGACACAAAATCAGTACATGCACAGCAAAAACACACACAAAAGCAAAGGAGCAGCGCTTTTATTGCTGTTCTTCATCTCAAAGTCATAGTGAGGCCTCCAACACGGAGCAAAAGAAGCTCTCGCATCACTTTACTGCAAGTTTAAGACGGCCCCTAGCACCGGTTTGAGCGGAATTCTTTGCAAAATGATTCGATGGAGTCGATTAAGAGCTTGGGATATTGTATATACACCTGGTTATTCTTTGAGATGACTTCTATTAACAACATTGTTGAAATAAGACTTACACGGTCGTTTGTTACAGACATTTTGCTAAAGACCGAATGTTGACTACTAGTTATCTTTTAAGGTTTTTTTGTCGTTTGTTGCTGCCTCATATTTGATTCATTGATTGATTTCCTCTCTTAACGACCCGTGGTATTTATTTCATGCATATGCAGGACGAGAAACTATTAAAATTGAATACAAAAGGTAGGTTCTGAAAGGTTGGGCGACAGGGATGAAGGGCAGAAAATTTGGACTGGCATTTCAAAACAATGGTATGTTGGTTAGGGGCATACATTTTACTTTGCAACAGGCCAACATCGAACCCCTCAAAGAGATGTTGCAAAGGATCTTAAACGTACAGAGAGCGATACACTAACTCTACACGTAGCATAAGATATATAATGTATATATGATATAAGAATATAAGGATGTATAATGAGACACGTAAAATTAAACATTGAGAAGTAGTCGAGAGGGTGAATATCAATTTATCCACAGGTCACCGTAGGCCAATCAGCAATGGACGTAGAACCCCACTCTCAAGAAAAATCCTTCAAATCAGTGATGCGTTTGTAATAACCAAGTTCATCAATGCATATCAAACATTCATTTGAAACAGAATTAAAATCATTTCTCGAATTCTTTGCAATCCACCATTTTTAAACATAAGGAAATGCCTATACAAAGTGAGGAATATGAAAGCTGTTTTCCATTCGTTTGATGTGTTTGAGCTTTTGATTTTGCCATTTGATAATGGAAATGGGGAATGTGTCAAAGAGACAACAACCCGACCATAGAACAGACAACAGCAGAAGGTCACCAACAGGTCTTCAATGCAGCGAGAAATTCCCGCACCCGGAGGCGTCCTTTAGCTGGCCCCTAAACAAATATATATACTAGTTCAGTGATAATGAAATCCATACTAAACTCCAAATTGTACACAAGAAACTAAAATTAAAAATAATACAAGACTGACAAAGGCTAGAGGCTCCTGACTTGGGACAGGCGCAAAAATGCGGCGGGGTTAAACATGTTTAAGGACTTTCTGTTTTGAATTTTCCTTGAAGTTCGGTATTTTTGTTATTTTACTTTTTTCTGTTACTTCGAAGCTTTGAATATATGTTTATCTAAATGGTTTACACAAACGTACGGTACTACCAGTGATTCTTAACATAGTTATGTCCCTTAACAGAGTAATGTCCCTAAAATGTAGTCAAGTTAATCCCTAAGGATAAGCTGTAAAAGACTCTGGGTAATCTTAAATACCCTGTCACGCCCGTTCTGTGTTTTGTTAGATGTTTTTTCTGCTTTGTATCGATCGGATCAATTAATCCCTTTTCAACTGATTTTTATATTCTTATGTTGTACTGTTACACCACTGTCTCAGGTTAGGGGAGGGTTGGCGTCTTCAAACATGTTTGTGAGCGTTCAATCCTTCCCCTAACCTGGGACAGTGGTGTAACAGCACAACACAAGAACAAGCTATAAAAATCAGTTGAAAAAGGCTTGACTCATCAGATCGATACAAAGAAAAACATCAAACAAAAACACAGACAGGACGTGGCAGGGTATATATATCCATCCATCATCCCTAACAACAAAAAAGACACTAAGTACAGATCTGAGAGTACTCGCAGTTACTGACAGCTAGTTCAAAGCCAATAACAACTAATAAAATAATCATGTATCTAAGACTAAAATATCAATCATTACACATCCAACATCCAATGAATTTAGTGTCAAGACGTCATTAACAGTCAGAGAAAAACATGACCTTGTGCAATGCCAAAATCTAGGTATTGCATGGGGCAGGCATATTCAAAACTTAGATGATGCTGAATTAGAAAATAATCCAGGCTTCCATTGGACTACTTTTCCGAAACATCCGGCCTATGTGAAGAAAGCCTTCATAAAGGCCATATATATTAATCTTGATTATTTTTTCAACTAAATTTGGACACAAAACAGATTGTTGTTTCTTCAATACTAAGAAAATATGCGAGACATATATTTAAACCTTTTTTGTCAAAATACGTGTGGTCAACAATACAACAAATGACATTGTTGGACCTGGTAGTAATTACGTTTGACCTTTAATAAATTACACGGAGAATAGTCTATACATTTCTTACAATTTTCAAACCCTGCCTGAGAGTAAAACATGTTTATGAGACAGCAACACAACAACAACAACAAAAAGTGAAGGCAAATATAGGTCAACATACAATATACAAATATCTGTACCAACAAAAATTTGCTTCCGCAAATTTGCAGATTTAACATTGTTGTGCTGATATTAAGAGTAATGACAAATATCTGTACCATATATATCCTGAGTCTGTATTTTATATAGTATTTAATGAAAAATGCCATTAATTTGAGGCTGTGGAATCAAAATTCCATAAACAATGGATAATAATACCAACTTTTTCTACAATTATTTTTTGGAAAATCTTGAATAAATCAAAATTAACATTCATCGAGTCAGTTTGAAAACAATTACGTATCTGATCCAAAATTAACAAGTTTAAATGATAGAATTTACTTTTTTATTATGAGTTTATTTAGAAATTTTGGGAATAACAAAATCACTCGCAATGAGCAGGTTACAATTAACAGTTTAGCTTAAAAAGGGACCACGACAGCTTGATGGAACGGAATTAGACGAGTGGAGAAAATGTCTGACGTCACAAATCAGGTGATTTCTGTATGACATAATTTGATAGTTCAAGCGTCGCAGACTTCCAAATAGCGATAAGGTCTATAGAACTCTGTTATTACAGTACCTTCAGATATAGGTCCTTACGAAATAGTTTTGATGGAAGCTATATAGTAACTGATTTCCGAGTTTAACTATTAATAAAAGGAGATGGAAAGGTGGTGGTATATCCGATGACAGCAACGCAACGACCCTAAAAACAAAATACATTTAGACTTGTTTAGACTATTTCCATATTCCCGACTTTTCGACGTTCGTGTTGCTTAGACTTTAGTTTTCTATGTTGTGTCATCTGTACTATTATTTGTCTGTTTGTCTTTTTATTTTTGGCCATGGCGTTGTCAGTTTGTTTTCGATCTATGAGTTTGAATGTCCCTCTGGTATCTGTCGTCCCTCTTTTTTGACTCTGGATTATATAAGTTTTCGACAGGTTACCTACTCTGTGGTCAGACATCCTGGTACTCGGTCAGGTAAGAGCAACCAAAAGAAGTAAAATCAAACATATCATCGATGCAATTTGATGGAAAAGCTTACTGTTTTCCGATGATTTTGTCGTGTATAGAAAACATAAAATAGAAAATTTTCCCCAAAAAATTTACCGATTGTAAGCTTGATTTTACTTCTTACTTGACCGAGTACCAGGATGTCCTACCGCAGAGATGGTAACCTGTGGAAAAAATATGAACTCCGGAGTCAAAAGTCTGTATTATGAAAATGTTCAATTATCAGCTTTGAAACGAAGACGCATGCTCTTCAAACTTTTTCGAAGTATGAGCTTTGACCCTTGCTTGGAAGTTGGTTCAAGTGTAGACAAGTGTTGTCAACTTTCGGTATCAATTCATATAAATAAAAGTAATGTTTCCGCCCACGGTGCACTGCATGTAATATTTGCACGTATTTCAAAGCAATTGAAAAAATCACCTCAAATCACATTGCGGGTAATCTTTACAAGTACTACTTAATAATTTCCGCAAAACAGAAAAAAATATCTTAATAATTATCGTACAGTTTAAAAAAATGTGTCGCACAGCTATATCATATGAGAAAAAAGTGCATCCTTGTATAACTGGTGTTTAAAAGTACAATATTTTTATTTGAGAGAAATTCGTAATTGCTCCAACTAACAATTTTGTAAATATTCAGATATATTCAGCTTTCATATACTAGGTTTGCTAAATGAGTAAAAACTTGTATAAAACTTGGGTCAACTTTATTTGAATACTTTCAGAAATAAAAACAAAGGTATTTCTTTTGACCATAACACAAAACAAAACGAAAATATGTTTGAAAAAAATAAGTAATGTATAGTATTATAAAAGAAACAAAAGTAGATATATCAATACATAGGTCTTATCGCTCAACTTCCGTAGTAAGGTCATTGGCTCGCCGAACTTTCCCGAAGTTCTACGTTAAATGGATTTCCGAGTTTATGAGCTTCGGTCCTTGCCGCGTGGAAGTTGCCTATCGCTATTTGTCTGCCATTACTGGGCATCACAGACATTCCCTCAAAATGTTTGACGCCATAAAGAAAACGTGATTGTTTTATGACGTCATTAGTTTAAGTGATTCTAAATTAGGGTAAAGTTTTGCAATGAGGTCTACTACGTCTTACCAAGTCTATCCGAATTATTTTGCTCAAACCGGTGCTTGGTGCCGTCTTAAACTTTAGTGAGTTGAGAGTTATTTTGCTCCGTGTTGAAGGCCTCACTGTGACTTTGAGATAAAGAACAGCAATAAAAGCGCTGTTCCTTTGCTTTTTGTGTGCTTTTTGCTGTGCATGTACTGATTTTGTGTCATGGATGGATACCCATCCCTTTTTTTCATTATTAAACTCTAAGTTTAAACCGAACAAAGAATGAATCCATCTATACAACATCAAAATACCGAATAGCCTATTGGGGACTCACAAAAAATGGAATCTTCGTCCACAAAAAATTACGA